CAATACTTGTAAATATGATTCCCTTGTAAATTAAATTCCCATGAAGGGAATACTAAATTTTTGTGAATAAGTGTTTGTTATACAAGATTACTTTGCAACTAGCTTTCTTTATCTTTTATTCTTTAATCAGTCCTTTAACCAGAATTCAGTAAAGTTTCTCGGAATCAGTATAATTAAGAGACACCTTATATGAATTTTACTTTAAAGTTGAGAAATAATTAAGATTTACTATGTATTTTGACCACAGAAACAATGTCACCCATACTTCGTTTTCCTTGTCTCTTACTATAACTTCAGTTTATGTTTAGACCCCAGTAACAGCTTCAATGGTTCAATTTCCAAACAAAGTGTAAAAAAAGTAGTGGAACAAAAATATGGATAAAATATTTCCCCCCTCATTTTATCTTTATCCCCTTTGTCTCTCCTGCAGAGAATATCATGAAATCAAGAATTGATGTGACAGACTGAGGTAACGATTGTACATGTATTGTCAAATCTGTGTCAATTCCTAATGTTGAGTTTTTCTGATAAGACCAATTGAGGATAAGTACTCAATATAGATCATTGATATTTGGTAAACATATGCAGATGCTTACAAAACCACTCATTTCTGTTCAGTAGGTCCTTGTCATCTGTCATCAAGTTTTAAATTTTATCAAAAAATATAGTTTTATATCTAAAGATTGTTGATAAATGGTATACTGCTGCATTAAGATGTATGCATTTCAGCTCAATCAGAATTCAAAGAGATGCCATTTCAGTCATGCTTCAATGACTTTGAATAAAATCTTATATTGTTCAAATGTTAAGTTTTGCAAATAATTATGTTTATGAATTAGCATTTATGTACACAGATTTTTCTGTAGAAGATGTATTGGGCAGTATATAGCCTTTTTTAGATTGTCAGAAGGTATGATTTCTATACCAGAAGATTTAATACTCTAAGCTTCATTTAATTAATTAACATCTGAATATCAAATTTCTAAGAAGATTTCTAACTCTTTAGTCATTCTTCATAAATCTAAAGTATTTATATTGTTCTGTTATTTTTTGATTAGCTTAGTACATTATGTACTTAAAAAGCGATGGCCCCTCCCATAAATACATGCAGTAATAAAGCAGTCAATTAAGTCACTGATTTGTAAAGCATTCAAAAAGCATCTCAGAGTTACAAGTTTTTTTTTAATCATTATTTAAAATTTTAAATTTCACATAAATATTTCAGATATAGCAGTCTTTCTAAAGTAAAGACATAATATGATTAAATAATCAACATTATGGTGATGTTGGGGTGATGGACAGGCCACTGGAAACAGTGGACACCTAATTTGTGTTATCAATTACACATACAGTTTTGAACCCAGATCCCTGAAACTTCACAGAAAGACGGCACACACCTTAAATTTACAAGCACCTGCTATTGTGCAGTTGTTATTGGAATTTTTCCTAATTTGAGACACCTAGTCATTTTTCAGAAAAGTTACTAAAGATGATATCAATTTTGTGTCATCAACTTCTCCCACATTTTAGATCACTCCTGATCCTCTAAACCAGGGCTTCCAAAATTATTTTTAGCCAGCCGGACATTTTATATATTATCCCGATTTTAATCCTTTAAGACTAAATAAACAAAAGGCAATTATGGTAATCAGTTGCCGAGTTGGCCATCCCAATGATTGACATTAAAAAAAAACGAAATTAAACTTTCTTTGCTTCAAATTCGAAGTTCTGACGTAAACTGTTAAATTGGCAGTGCATCATTCGAAGTGTGCAACATCAGCGTACTTATATCTGCCTTAGACTCTTTATTTGTGCAAAATAACGTTGTCAAAAACTTTACTTTCGTTTTTAAATCTAAAACTGGATTTTATCTTGACAATGGTAAAACATGGACCAGAGATGGATACGTAAATTCCGTGTATGTTTGCAAAGCATGAAAGAGTGTAAGTAGCTCTTTCTACGTTATTTAGAAAATATTCGAAATAAACTTGAGATAAAGGTATCAATGACAATTTAAGCATTTTTTGAAGAAATTAGGATGCATAATTAAATTTCACACCTGCGCACATGCGCAAACATGTACTGGTTCAAACAGAGACATGTCTCTGGTTCAAACAACTTGGTTATGACGATTTTTCATTTTCACCTTAATTTTTTCATCAAATCATATTTGTAAACGTATTTCTGATAATTTAAGTCTTTTTGACTAAACTAATTAGATGCAAACCGCTGAAATGTAAGAAAATAACTTTCAATAGACTGATCAATGTCTGGTTCAAAATAGTTTACCTGTCACCTAAACAGGTAAATTTCAGCTGTTCGACAACTAATTAGCCTTGATTAAAATGAGCAGGTATTAAAGTAGGGGTTGTTTTGATAGTACTTAATGATCATGTCACTTTTATGACCGGAAATGTGTGGCTGTTAAAGGCAAAAGGTTGGGTCAAAAAGATCGCGAATTATGTTAAAATGACCATCTCTTAAGAAAGCCTTGAAAACTAAAAAGTAGATGTCCGTTTCATGCTTTGCCCAGCTGGACTTTTACCGGACATTATACAAATGTCCGGAATATATGACCGTTTTGGAAGCCTTGCTCTAAACATCTTAGAATTATTGCCCATATAAAGCTGTTGTGCATCAGGTCCTGTTATTACGAAGTTGTTTGAGGAATTTTTTTCCAATTTTTTGAAACTTAGTCATTTATTCAGAAATTTTGTTAAAAAGATAGTAACAATTTTTTTTAACTAATATCTTTCAGGGTTGACCACCTTCCATGACGGATTTTTTTCCCCATTTAAACATTCTATATTTCAATAAATTTAAATGTTCAGTATAGACCATTCTCCATTGTTTAAGAAACATTCTTCCCAATCTAACCATTTGAGTTTTCATCTTTGTTCACACTTTTGGTCATGTAAAAGAGATGTGGAAGAAACCAAAGAGATATTCAAACTCATAAGTCGAAAACAAACTGACAACGCCATGGCAACAAAACAAAAAAACAACGAAAAAAGAAATCAACAGTCTACAAAAAACTTCAAAGAAAACTAACAAATGAACAACACGATGGCCTTCAAAAACTATCAGTGATCTCACGTGTCTGGGAATGGTAAGCAGATCTTGCTCCACAGGTGGCACACATGGTGTTGCTCATGCAAGAAAAAAACTTCTAATGCAAATTGAGAAATGGTTATAACCCCCTTTTTGTCAAGCCTAAAAACTTTTGTCGAAAAAGCGAGACATAGCGATCCTACATTCCGTCGGCGGCGGCGGCGTCCACAAATATTCACTCTGTGGTTAAAGTTTTAGAAATTTTAATAACTTTCTTAAACTATCCTGGATTTCTACCAAACTTGGAAAGAAGCTTGTTTATGATCATAAGATAGTATCCAGAAGTAAATTTTGTAAAAAAAAAAATCCATTTTTTCCGTATTTTACTTATAAATGGACTTAGTTTTTCTGCCAGTTAATTAACATTACATTCACACTGTGGTTTAAGTTTTTAAAATTTTAACAACTTTCTTAAACTAAACATGGCCAGATGCTTGTTTATGATTAAAAGCTAGTATCTAGAAGGAAATTTTGTTAAAATTTTGTTCCATTTTTCCGTATTTTACTTATAAATGGACTTCTTCCAGTTAACATTACATACAGTCTGCAGTTTAAGTTTTTAAAACATTTATTAGATTCATAAACTATCCTGGATTTTTACCAAACTTGGACAGAAGCTACTTACAATCAAAAGATAGTATAGAGAGGATTATCTTTATTAATTTTTTTCCTCATTTTTGTTGAGCCTGCGATTAACAGCAAAGGTAGGCGAGACACTGGGTTCCGCGGAACCCTTACGAATTCTTAGTTAGATATGACATAAGAGATAATGATACATTGATTATCAGTATGTGGATGTAATATCATCAGTAAACATAACATACCAAAATACAATTATATATGGTTAAAGTAGAAATACGTTTTGAATGACAACTAAAAAGATCGATTTATTTAATAATTTCAAAACTTGTCTCGTTCGTTACATGTTATCAGAACTGATTGGTGAAGTGCATTGTTTGAAATTGAATTTCATTTGTTATAAATTGGCATTAATTGGCCTATTTAGAATATTTATAATGAATCAATCACATAAACTGGTCCTTTATTAACTTGTATTAAATCATTGATATATTGGAATACAATAACTGTTCAGTAGACATGGCTCTGTTTCAAAAAAGTTGTCAGTGCCATTTTCTGACAAACTTCAGTCCTTTACTGTGTAAATGTAATTATAGTTAAAACTTGTTTCATTAGCAAGTGCTTGTGAAAATTAACATATAGATAGTATAAAGTTTACAGTTTAATTGTTTAGGATTCTATGGTGATTAGAGTCACTGATTGGTTTCTTTGATATCAGACTTTTTATATTCAGGACCATTTTAATTTTGATATAGCAACATTTTCAGCATAACAATTTAACAGAGTCTATGGGGGTCAACTTCATATCGTCACATCACTTCATGATTTAAAATGGTAAAACTGATATTGATAATAATCCATGAAAGTATTATAATGCCAGTATAACACTTCCAAGATGTGACCAACTATGATAGAATTTCTCAATGCACAAAATTGATAACATGAGTGAGTAATTGATGTTGTCAAATTACTGATCTATTATCTATAGTTCATATTCTAGACTTCACCTCGCTGTTGATGGTACATTTTTTAGAATCAAAGTTTCTCTAGAAGTTTAAGGCTACTGTATATTTTTTCATCTTTGTGATTTTAGTGAGCATGTGTCAAGAGTCATGTGATCTCTTGTGGTATGTGTGAATGTTACCAGAATATCATCGAAATGACCTTCCTTAGAACGATGCTGGTTGTTTCAATTGGAAGTCAAAGGATATATTGGATATATTAGATTTTTTTTTCGTTATAAGTTTTTTGTAGCAGATACTAATTTGAAAATTTATAATAATAATAATCTGACAAATATTATTTTATAGGCAAGAAGTCCAACAGAAATCAACTTTAGTTTAGACACGAATAAAGCACAGAGAGAATTGATAATACAGTTAGAATCTAAAAATAGGTATTAAATACTTAATTTAATCTTAAATTCCCAAATGCATGCCAGAACGGAACACATTATAACATCACAGTTTTGTGAGTTAAATTCTCTCCCCTCATTGTGACAAATCATTTTAATCTTGAAAAAAAAACATGGATAGATTGTTGCTTGTTTAATATCCAGTGGCAATTACATGACAAAGGATAATGTGCTAGTTATTGTTTCCCTTGAAAGATCCAAGTCTAAAAGTGTTATCAGATAACAGCTAATGTATGTATTTTCTTACTATGCTTTATATTCAAAAGGCTGTTTGTTCTTTCATAATACCAACTGGAATTTCAAGTTGAAGTTTGAATACATCTCTTCACACTGTAGCCCTAGGTTTATCCCATTTATGCTAATCAACTGAACTGTTAAGCTGATTTCTAGTGATAACATTACTAATCTTACCCTCCTGTTTTAGTGATTACCTTTCTGGTTCATCAGATGTTTGTTGAACATCTCCTAGTTATCAGGAACACTTGAAATTGAATAGAAAATGAAAATTCTGTCATATTATCATTTTAAATGGTTCATGAACTTTTCAACATTTGCATAGTTTACATGTTAAAGTTTGTGATTAGGTCAGTTTAACGGGAACCAATAAAAGTCATTGATATTTGGTATGCAGTTGTTTTAGCATTTGCATATATATCTCATTTCCAAGAATCGATGGAGATTATTTTGCCCTGCACCTTCAGTCTTGGTTCAGTGACATTCAATCTTTTACCTATTTTACATGTTTTAAATATTGCCGTTTTAATTTTAACTTTTGCAATTTACTATCAAAATAACATACAGGCAAGACATATCTCTGTTGAACAATAAAATATCAAAATAACATACAGGCAAGGCATATCTCTGTTGAACAATAAACTATCAAAATAACATACAGGCAAGAGATATCTCTGTTGAACAATAAACTATCAAAATAACATACAGGCAAGGCATATCTCTGTTGAACAATAAACTATCAAAATAACATACAGGCAAGGCATATCTCTGTTGAACAATAAACTATCAAAATAGCATACAGGCAAGGCATATCTCTGTCGAACAATAAACTATCAAAATAACATACAGGCAAGACATATCTCTGTTGAACAATAAACTATCAAAATAACATCAAGGCAAGGCATATCTCTGTTGAACAATAAACTATCAAAATAACATACAGGCAAGACATATCTCTGTTGAACAATAAACTATCAAAATAACATACAGGCAAGACATATCTCTGTTGAACAATAAACTAACAAAATAGCATACAGGCAAGACATATCTCTGTTGAACAATAAACTATCAAAATAACATACAGTCAAAACATATCTCTGTTGAACAATAAACTATCAAAATAACATACAGGCAAGGCATATCTCTGTTGAACAATAAACTATCAAAATAACATACAGGCAAGACATATCTCTGTTGAACAATAAACTATCAAAATAGCATACAGGCAAAACATATCTCTGTTGAACAATAAAGTATCAAAATAACATACAGTCAAAACATATCTCTGTTGAACAATAAACTATCAAAATAACATACAGGCAAGGCATATCTCTGTTGAACAATAAACTATCAAAATAACATACAGGCAAGGCATATCTCTGTTGAACAATAAACTATCAAAATAGCATACAGGCAAGACATATCTCTGTAGAACAATAAACTATAAAAATAGCATACAGGCAAGACATATCTCTGTTGAACAATAAACTATCAAAATAACATACAGGCAAAACATATCTTTGTTGAACAATAAACTATCAAAATAACATACAGTCAAAACATATCTCTGTTGAACAATAAACTATCAAAATAACATACATGCAAGACATATCTCTGTTGAACAATAAACTATCAAAATAACATACAGGCAAGGCATATCTCTGTTGAACAATAAACTATCAAAATAACATACAGGCAAGACATATCTCTGTTGAACAATAAACTATCAAAATAACATACAGGCAAGGCATATCTCTGTTGAACTATAAACTATCAAAATAACATACAGACAAGACATATCTCTGTTGAACAATAAACTATCAAAATAACATACAGTCAAGACATATCTCTGTTGAACAATAAACTATCAAAATAACATACAGGCAAGACATATCTCTGTTGAACAATAAACTATCAAAATAACATACAGGCAAGACATATCTCTGTTGAACAATAAACTATCAAAATAACATACAGGCAAGGCATATCTCTGTTGAACAATAAACTATCAAAATAACATACAAACTATCAAAATAACATACAGGCAAGACATATTTCTGTTGAACAATAAACTATCAAAATAACATACAGGCAAGGCATATCTCTGTTGAACAATAAACTATCAAAATAACATACAGGCAAGGCATATCTCTGTTGAACAATAAACTATCAAAATAACATACAGGCAAGACATATTTCTGTTGAACAATAAACTATCAAAATAACATACAGTCAAAACATATCTTTGTTGAACAATAAACTTTCAAAATAACATACAGGCAAGGCATATCTCTGTTGAACAATAAACTATCAAAATAACATACATGCAAGACATATCTCTGTTGAACAATAAACTATCAAAATAACATACAGGCAAGGCATATCTCTGTTGAACAATAAACTATCAAAATAACATACAGGCAAGACATATCTCTGTTGAACAATAAACTATCAAAATAACATACAGGCAAGACATATCTCTGTTGAACAATAAAGTATCTAAATAACATACAGGCAAGGCATATCTCTGTTGAACAATAAACTATCAAAATAGCATACAGGCAAGACATATCTCTGTTGAACAATAAAGTATCAAAATAACATACAGTCAAAACATATCTCTGTTGAACAATAAACTATCAAAATAACATACAGGCAAGGCATATCTCTGTTGAACAATAAACTATCAAAATAACATACAGGCAAGGCATATCTCTGTTGAACAATAAACTATCAAAATAACATACAGGCAAGGCATATCTCTGTTGAACAATAAACTATCAAAATAGCATACAGGCAAGACATATCTCTGTAGAACAATAAACTATAAAAATAGCATACAGGCAAGACATATCTCTGTTGAACAATAAACTATCAAAATAACATACAGTCAAAACATATCTTTGTTGAACAATACACTTTCAAAATAACATACAGGCAAGGCATATCTCTGTTGAACAATAAACTATCAAAATAACATACATGCAAGACATATCTCTGTTGAACAATAAACTATCAAAATAACATACAGGCAAGGCATATCTCTGTTGAACAATAAACTATCAAAATAACATACAGGCAAGACATATCTCTGTTGAACAATAAACTATCAAAATAACATACAGGCAAGGCATATCTCTGTTGAACTATAAACTATCAAAATAACATACAGACAAGACATATCTCTGTTGAACAATAAACTATCAAAATAACATACAGTCAAGACATATCTCTGTTGAACAATTAACTATCAAAATAACATACAGGCAAGACATATCTCTGTTGAACAATAAACTATCAAAATAACATACAGGCAAGACATATCTCTGTTGAACAATAAACTATCAAAATAACATACAGGCAAGGCATATCTCTGTTGAACAATTAACTATCAAAATAACATACAGACAAACTATCAAAATAACATACAGGCAAGACATATTTCTGTTGAACAATAAACTATCAAAATAACATACAGGCAAGGCATATCTCTGTTGAACAATAAACTATCAAAATAACATACAGGCAAGGCATATCTCTGTTGAACAATAAACTATCAAAATAACATACAGGCAAGACATATCTCTGTTGAACAATAAACTATCAAAATAACATACAGTCAAAACATATCTTTGTTGAACAATAAACTTTCAAAATAACATACAGGCAAGGCATATCTCTGTTGAACAATAAACTATCAAAATAACATACATGCAAGACATATCTCTGTTGAACAATAAACTATCAAAATAACATAAAGGCAAGGCATATCTCTGTTGAACAATAAACTATCAGAATAACATACAGGCAAGACATATCTCTGTTGAACAATAAACTATCAAAATAACATACAGGCAAGACATATCTCTGTTGAACAATAAACTATCTAAATAACATACAGGCAAGGCATATCTCTGTTGAACTATAAACTATCAAAATAACATACAGACAAGACATATCTCTGTTGAACAATAAACTATCAAAATAACATACAGTCAAGACATATCTCTGTTGAACAATAAACTATCAAAATAACATACAGGCAAGACATATCTCTGTTGAACAATAAACTATCAAAATAACATACAGGCAAGACATATCTCTGTTGAACAATAAACTATCAAAATAGCATACAGGCAAGACATATCTCTGTTGAACAATAAACTATCAAAATAACATACAGGCAAGACATATTTCTGTTGAACAATAAACTATCAAAATAACATTCAGACAAGACATATCTCTGTTGAACAATAAACTATGTTTCATGTTATCAGATCGAAATAAAGAATTGAATTTTAGAAAGCTCTGTTTATTATATTCAAGTACTTTTTAAAGAAATTTTGCTGCATTTTACAATTTAACAATAGACATTTAAAATAGTTTGAAATATTGATGCTTGAGTGTTAAACTAAATCAATATAATTAAATGGATAGCACAGGGTTTACATTTGTTTAACCAGTTTGATATTAGTATGACAATAACATCATGGTAAATGTGATCTATTGTTGTGTGTAAACATTTCTATAATTGTTAATGTGTTTTTGTCAAAATATCCAACATTAAAGGAAGTCAAAGAACTATTGATCCTTTCTAACTTGGTGTAATTATCTGCATGGTATAGTCACAGCTAAACTTTTAAACATTTCTAAATTTTATTTTTTTATAGAGAAATAATGAGAGAAATACAACGATTACGTGCTGAGCAGGAAGCCCACGCCAAGAGTACAGCTGACGCACAGTACAATCCAACATTATTAGCTGAATTACGTCTTCTGCGGCAGAGAAAAGATGAATTGGAATCCCGTATGCAGACACTGCAGGAAAGTCGCAAAGAATTGATGGTCCAATTAGAAGGCCTAATGAAACTGCTGAAGGTAATAATGTAATTATAGGATTTCTGCATTGTTAAGAAGCAAAAGTTTCAATTTTACAAAACTGATTGTTATATTATTGAGGAAGACTTGATGATGACAGTGCAAAATAAAAGACAAAAGCTTGAACTTTATTTACATGTTTTATGAATAATTATAGCTTACTAGGCTAATAGTATATGGTATTTTTCTTTGGATAAGAGAATACGATTTCTGCCATAGCATACCTTACTCCATATTTAGGTTGACCATTTCTCTAGCTTTTGGGGGAGATTCAGGCCTCCAGCTATTCATAAGATAGTTTAAGTTTGGTTTGAATAAAAGAAAATTTAATAGATTTGAAGGTAATTGAAATATTCTAAGAATGGAGTGGGGGTAGAGAAATACGATTATTGTTGAATTCTCACATCTCATGGACAAGTGCTGTGTAAATTACTATTTACAAGGAGTTAACACACAAATCACATATGTTTTGAATTAGAAGAGAGAGTGTCACAAATCTGTATATAAAGATCCGTTGTAAAACACATTGAAGAGGTCAAACGCTAACCTATTGATTGGCTAATTTTTGAGTCCCTTCCTCACATACTGAGGTTTCCTTTTGAAAACTAAGGCCATATTAATTATATTTATATATCATATGTCAAAGGAGTAAGTTGGGTAAGGGCCATATTTGGCCTCGTTTATTGAGTTCAATGTTTCAAAATGAAAAATGTTTTAAGTTGATGCAAAGACATGTGAGAAAGTTAAATAGAACTCTTTTTGTCCAAGTTATTTTAAAGCATTAGTTTTTACATCCCAAATGGGTCAAAAATAGAGATTTTTTCCAAATTTGACAAAATCTTCTAGATTTCAACCAAATTTAGGCCAAGGAAACATGGGGTGCAGGCATAGACAAACAAAATATTCTAGTCAGATTTGTAAAGTGTTAACTATAGCAAACATTATGTGAAAAGATCTTTTTTTGTCAATGCATGAGCTCTGTTTCCAGTAAAAAAACTCAATAGAAATATATCTGTTTTCATTGAATTTTTCGTGAAAAATAAAACCAATGCTATTTGCGACGTCATGAATAGAACGCAAATACTTAAATTTTCAACTAAAAACACATTTCCTATCTAGTCATTGTATTAGCTATGATTCATTGCGATATTGGTCAGTACATCCTAATTTGAAAGTGTATCTAGAAAAAGGGCCATATCGAACCTACTCCTTTATCTAAATACTTCATATTGTATTTTTCAAAATAGTTAATAGAGGTTGTTTCAGTTATTTATTGAGATAATGATTGTCTGTTTATTTTAAAATCAACATTGATTATCTTTTTATCTTTTTTATCATAAATATTTTCATTTTTTCCAGACAAATCCTACCTCTCCACGATCAACACTGAATGGCAGTACACGATCACATGTCAGCCAATCACAGTCGTTTGCTGGACCAATTACAATCAGATCACAGTCAATGTCAGATTCTACTGGGAACGTGCCAACATCTCCTGGAATGGAATCTTCCACTTTGTCAGGAGTTGGTGGAGAAGTACAGGAAGCCTTCAGTCAGCCCTCATCTGCTGATAATGTCCGACTGCTGAGGAATGATCTCCTGTGTGCTGCAGACTCTGTAACAAGTGCCATGTCATCTCTGGTCAAGGAACTTAATTCTGGTATTGTTACTTTGACTTGTACTCATTAAGTTAGAAAAAAAGTGAAACAATTCAAACTTAGAGGACAGACAGGATAAACATTATTGTTTATTGCCATTATATTTTCCCTTTTCATTCATATTACAAATTCTGATAAAGAAAAATTATTTAAGGGTTTTTGTTATTTAAAACAAAAGGTTTAGAAAATATGCTATTTTGTAAACAAAGCATTTAGTTCAAAATTGAAAAAATATTAATAAGACTAAGAATATCAGAAGTGACTGTTTGACCTCCAACAACGAGTACAATCCACATTTCATATATACCAAGTTGTTACCAAGTAAACATGTATGAGATGAATCAAAGAAAAGAAACAAATGTTTTAAAATAAATATATTGCTTTATCAATGCATAATGTAGAGCAAGGAGGTAGTAACTTACTGTGAATTGTCTTTTATAATCAGGGGGAATAATTTGGCAAATTAATAGGTAATCTAATATGCTATGAAATTAGAACAAATGGTAGGTAGTGACTTCCAATATCCCAAACAGCCAATATACTTTCTTTGAATATTTTTTCATTTATCAAGCAATTATACAAGTATAGATGATGCGGTCCAAAGTAAGGCTTTTCTACAAATCCTTCCAATTTTGTTTTAATGGAATAGACCTCAAGCTCTAAATGCCTATTTCTACCTTTCACTGCAACAGAAAATATATGTTAAAATTAAAATTCAAATAAGTTTTATTCTAATTTGGCAAGTTAAGTAACCAAAACAACATTACATCCACTTCACTTGAACTTTGGTGGATAGTTGTCCCATTGGCAATCATACCACATCTCCTTATATTTAAATAGGGTCTGAGCAAGCTTTTGAACAGATATAAATGTTTCATAGTTAACATCAATTTTTGAAAAGGTTTACTTTTACCTACAGAAACCAGGAAGATTTGTGGTCGGCCACATATGCAATTCAAATTCCACACATTTGTTTTATATATAGTCTCTACAAAATTCTGATTTTAACCTTAAAACACACATTTAACCCACACATATACTAGAACATTAAATCTAGCCCATACCTGTCAACCACTGAAACCTTCAAAGAGGGAGATCTCCCCCTCATGTATGACAGCTGAGGGGGAGATTATGCACGAACGACATTTTCAAGTTAAATATATGACCTGTTTACTTATTCAACTACAAAACCAATAAGAGTTAATAAATATACTTTATTTCTTTAATTCATGGTTATAATCTATACAAGGTGTTTTTTTTTTCCTTTTTCAATACCTCATAACATTCCATATTTTGATTTGGTTGTGAGTCTCACACTAAGCATGCTTTCAAACATCGTACAGATCACCAGAAGAAATCGAAAAGTTGATTGAACATGATGTGAAAAATGAGAATTCATTGCTAAGTGAACTTGGTCGTAAATATTTTAAATCTTTCATCCAATCTGCTTGACATTTGCAGTTATATTTCTTCTTTTTTACACTGCCACTTGGTCCAGACAAAGACCTCTATCTTGTTGGAGTTGACATAGCAGAAATGAATTTCGATTAGGCCCTACTTATAAATCTAACAAAAAAACTACTGACCAAAGTTTTCAAACGATCGGTTTATTAAATAAAAAAATGTGGTATGAGTGCCAATGAGACATCTACCCGGTATCCATCCAAGTCACAATGTGTAAAAAGTAAATAATTATAGGTCAAAGTACGGCCTTCAACACGGAGCCTTGGCTCACACCGAACAGCATGTTTGTTTATTTCTATTGAAAGTAATGAAAAAGCCAGAGAATTACGAATGCGGGTCATTCCAGGTAAAAATATCCGAATGCCGGAGTGGACTGGCAAGCGGGAGATTTTCGCAATTTCATTGTTTGCGCGGGAGACTCCAGCTCAAAACGGGAGGGTTGGCAGGTATGATCTAGCCAGACAATTCACTGTTAGATTATTTTGTATTTACAGAACAGAGTTGTAGTGATGATGAAGATGACAATGGGGAGGCTGAAGGTAGGTACTGGTTTAGTTAAAGAATTCTTAGGGGTCCTATTGGCCAAAGGTCATAAAAGGTCATGTTTATGATTTAATAAGAGATGTGTAATAAACTTAATAAAATAGTTACATATACAAACACCAAATGCACAAAAACAAAACAACATGATTTCTACAGGACAATTCATGGTTGTAATCTATGCTAGTGATGATTGTTAAAACTCCCCTCATCGTGGTTGTAATCTATGCTAGTGAAGATAGTTAAAAACTCCCCTCATTGTGGTTGTAATCCATGCTAGTGATGATAGTTAAAACTCCCCTCATTGTGGTTGTACTACATGCTAGTGATGATTGTTAAAATTCCCCTCATCGTGGTTGTAATACATGCTAGTGAAGATAGTTAAAACTCCCCTCATTGTGGTTGTACTACATGCTAGTGATGATTGTTAAAACTCCCCTCATCATGGTTGTAATACATGCTAGTGATGATTGTTAAAACTCCCCTCATCGTGGTTGTACTACATGCTAGTGATGATTGTTAAAACTCCCCTCATCGTGGTTGTATTACATGCTAGTGATGATTGTTAAAACTCCCCTCATCGTGGTTGTAATACATGCTAGTGATGATTGTTAAAACTCCTCTCATCGTGGTTGTAATACATGCTAGTGATGATTGTTAAAACTCCCCTCATCGTGGTTGTAATACATGCTAGTGATGATTGTTAAAACTCCTCTCATCGTGGTTGTAATACATGCTAGTGATGATTGTTAAAACTCCCCTCATCGTGGTTGTAATACATGCTAGTGATGATTGTTAAAACTCCTCTCATCGTGGTTGTAATACATGCTAGTGATGATTGTCAAAACTCCCTTCATCGTGGTTGTAATACATGCTAGTGATGATTGTTAAAACTCCCCTCATCGTGGTTGTAATACATGCTAGTGATGATTGTTAAAACTCCCCTCATCGTGGTTGTAATACATGCTAGTGATGATTGTTAAAACTCCCCTCATCGTGGTTGTAATACATGCTAGTGATGATTGTTAAAACTCCCCTCATTGTGGTTGTAATACATGCTAGTGATGATTGTTAAAACTCCCCTCATTGTGGTTGCAATACATGCTAGTGATAATTGTTAAAACTCCCCTCATTGTGGTTGTAATACATGCTAGTGATGAGTGTTAAAACTCCCCTCATTGTGGTTGTAATACATGCTAGTGATGATTGTTAAAACTCCCCTCATTGTGGTTGTAATACATGCTAGTGATGACTGTTAAAACTCCCTTCATCGTGGTTGTAATACATGCTAGTGATGAGTGTTAAAACTCCCCTCATCGTGGTTGTAATACATGCTAGTGATGAGTGTTAAAACTTCCCTCATTGTGGTTGTAATACATGCTAGTGATGACTGTTAAAACTCCCTTCATCGTGGTTGTAATACATGCTAGTGATGACTGTTAAAACCCCCCTCATTGTGGTTGTAATACATGCTAGTGATGATTGTTAAAACTCCCCTCATTGTGGATGTGATCCATGCTAGTGATGATTGTTAAAACTCCCCTCATTGTGGTTGTAACACATGCTAGTGATGATTGTTAAAACTCCTCTCATCGTGGTTGTAATCCATGCTAGTGATGATTGTTAAAACTCCCCTCAGTGTGGTTGTAATACATGCTAGTGATGATTGTTAAAACTCCCCTCATTGTGGTTGTAGTTCATGCTAGTGATGAGTGTTAAAACTCCTCTCATTGTGGTTGTAATACATGCTAGTGATGATTGTTAAAACTCCCCTCATTGTGGTTGTAATACATGCTAGTGATGATTGTTAAAACTCCCCTCATTGTGGTTGCAATACATGCTAGTGATAATTGTTAAAACTCCCCTCATTGTGGTTGTAATACATGCTAGTGATGATTGTTAAAACTCCTCTCATCGTGGTTGTAATACATGCTAGTGATGATTGTTAAAACTCCCCTCATCGTGGTTGTAATACATGCTAGTGATGATTGTTAAAACTCCTCTCATCGTGGTTGTAATACATGCTAGTGATGATTGTTAAAACTCCCCTCATCGTGGTTGTAATACATGCTAGTGATGATTGTTAAAACTCCTCTCATCGTGGTTGTAATACATGCTAGTGATGATTGTTAAAACTCCCTTCATCGTGGTTGTAATACATGCTAGTGATGATTGTTAAAACTCCCCTCATCGTGGTTGTAATACATGCTAGTGATGATTGTTAAAACTCCCCTCATCGTGGTTGTAATACATGCTAGTGATGATTGTTAAAACTCCCCTCATCGTGGTTGTAATACATGCTAGTGATGATTGTTAAAACTCCCCTCATTGTGGTTGTAATACATGCTAGTGATGATTGTTAAAACTCCCCTCATTGTGGTTGCAATACATGCTAGTGATAATTGTTAAAACTCCCCTCATTGTGGTTGTAATACATGCTAGTGATGAGTGTTAAAACTCCCCTCATTGTGGTTGTAATACATGCTAGTGATGATTGTTAAAACTCCCCTCATTGTGGTTGTAATACATGCTAGTGATGACTGTTAAAACTCCCTTCATCGTGGTTGTAATACATGCTAGTGATGAGTGTTAAAACTCCCCTCATCGTGGTTGTAATACATGCTAGTGATGAGTGTTAAAACTTCCCTCATTGTGGTTGTAATACATGCTAGTGATGACTGTTAAAACTCCCTTCATCGTGGTTGTAATACATGCTAGTGATGACTGTTAAAACCCCCCTCATTGTGGTTGTAATACATGCTAGTGATGATTGTTAAAACTCCCCTCATTGTGGATGTGATCCATGCTAGTGATGATTGTTAAAACTCCCCTCATTGTGGTTGTAACACATGCTAGTGATGATTGTTAAAACTCCTCTCATCGTGGTTGTAATCCATGCTAGTGATGATTGTTAAAACTCCCCTCAGTGTGGTTGTAATACATGCTAGTGATGATTGTTAAAACTCCCCTCATTGTGGTTGTAGTTCATGCTAGTGATGAGTGTTAAAACTCCTCTCATTGTGGTTGTAATACATGCTAGTGATGATTGTTAAAACTCCCCTCATTGTGGTTGTAATACATGCTAGTGATGACTGTTAAAACTCCTCTCATCGTGGTTGTAATACATGCTAGTGATGAGTGTTAAAACTCCTCTCATCGTGGTTGTAATACATGCTAGTGATGATTGTTAAAACTCCCCTCATCGTGGTTGTAATACATGCTAGTGATGAGTGTTAAAACTCCCCTCATTGTGGTTGTAATACATGCTAGTGATGAGTGTTAAAACTCCTCTCAACGTGGTTGTAATACATGCTAGTGATGATTGTTAAAACTCCCCTCATTGTGGTTGTAATACATGCTAGTGATGATTGTTAAAACTCCCCTCATCGTGTTTGTAAACGTCTATTTTCTACATCACCACTTTCTATGAAAACATTGATAGGGTTTATGATGATGTGTAGAACAACTTATTCAAGTAATGAAGGAAGCCAGATTGTCTTTATAAACACCAATCACTGAAGCAGGTGTTATGTTTCAAGAGGGATGTCAGGACTTGGCTTTTATTTTTTTCTGGACTTTAAGATTTACCCTTATTGGGACTCTGGATTTAATGATTTTTTTTCGGGGGGGGGGGGGGGGGGGGGGGGGGAGGAGGGAGTACAGGAAAGAATGCTTTTTTGGGGGGGATTTAAGATTCAGGGTTTATATTTCCATGAATTCTGGATTACACCCACTCCTTCCTCCCTTATTCAACACAGATGATAACTAACTAAGCCAAAACTTAACATAGATAGTCAAGTAAATCATGCACAATTTTTTGAACAAGATATTTCACAAGTACAGTTGCCTATGACAAACTAATTATTTTTATCAGGTTAAGTTTCAGCTCAATTGATATAAAAGTTGTCCTCATTCACATTGAATGGAAAATTAGTGATCTTTTTGAAAAGATACATGAATTTTTACATTGAATAAATATTTATTTTCTAAGTTTTGGAATAAATGAAGTCACTTCAAATTTTATGCTATGTTAATAGAAAAAAGTACTCTTTTATTTCACAGGCTATTATGATTTCCTGGGTTTTCCATAGAGAAATTCGAGCTTCACAACTATAACAATGTATTTTTCTATGTTAGCAATTAGATGCATGTTTATTCTTTTTGATGAAATGGAATTTTTGATTTAATATCAGTAATGTTTCTAATGTTTATAGAATATTTGACATTTCTGTATAATAAAATCAGCACAAAGTTATTGATTGAAAAGGATAAATCATTAAACTTTAACCACATGGTATTACTCATACTGGTACCTAATGGTATAAGATTACTCATTATACTGGTACTTAATGGTATAAGATTACTCATTAAACTGGTACCTATTGATATAGAATTACTCATTAAACTGTTACAGAAATGGTTGAACAAAATCTCTTTTTTTTTAAAGTGGAAAAAAATCAATCTGTATTTTGTCATTTTATAGAATGAATTCATGTGTTGTCCATTGGTCATTCATAAACTTAAAACTAAATTCTTCACTAAATCCACTTGGACCAGTATGATCAAACATTACTGGAGCCATCTCTAAGGTGTGTAGTTTTTTGTAAGTCTTTAAACCAACTAACCAACATTGTCATAAACATGTTTAAAATACTTATAATTATTCTGTGAATGGCTTTCTTTTAAATATAGCAAATAGTCAAGTTTTAAATGTTAAAAACATGTTACCTGTAGTGTGAGTTTCATTCAGTTGACCTTTTGTACCTAATAATGGCCATTGAATTTAGATAACTTAAAAGAACGAAGACATTTGTTCATTCGCATCAGACTCAGTCATCACACAGTAAGCTGACATTTGATATAATGGACTAAAAAGAGAATTGTATCATAAACAAACACTCTATAACTGGAAAATGAAGTTAACATTTAATTTGACATTCAATACAATGATATTATAATCCAAAAGAAACTATCATTTTAGCATTTATTTTATCTTTAATTGATTTCAACTATAAAATTAATGAAACAATTTTAATAATTCAGAGAAAAAAAATAATAGCATCTATATTCAAATTGAATTGTTCAGTTGATATGTTGGGAGTATAACAATCTACATACAATTTGACTGGATAAAATGTCATGTCTCCATGGAGATAGTGCTGGGACTGGTGATTCACTGTCTGTTTAAAACCAATCTTTGTAAAACTAAAGCTGATTTTCTGAAGTAAAACCTATTTTTTTATGTTTTTGTTGTTTTTTGTGTGTTTTTTGTTTTTTGCAATAATATGTAAGCTGTTGTTTACAACACATCACTAAATCAAATAATTCACTGTCCTATAACTTGATATTTTGGTTATCAGCAAACTTTGGATGTGGGGAAGATTTGGATTATCTCCCCTGTTTACAAAAAAACAGTTTAGATGTCAGTAGTCAGTGTGTGTTTTTGTTGATATTTTTATGTATTTGCTCTTTTATTGCAGTTATTATGTAAATTGGTGATATTTCATGTTTTCCCATCCACCATTTCAATGATCAATAGAGCAAAAACAATTTAATTGACCCCTTTTAAATTTTCATATTATTAAAACAGAAATGACTAGTGTCATAACATTTAGTTATATTTATAAACAAAATTCCTCAGGGTGGCCAATTCAATCCTTTTGTGGTAGGGGTGAGCAACTGAGATATGCATTACCCAACCCTCTTCATATATTTTGAATAACAAAGATAAATACTCTTATCATATATTTTTTGACAATATATGAATACTAATGCTTTATTGAGATTGGTATAGTTACAAACTACTAAACATAAGGTCAATAGAGACAAAAATCATACCTATAGCTATCATGATTACCTTACAAACTACTAAACATAAGCTCTATAGAGACAAAATAATACCTATAGCTATCATGATTACCTTACAAACTACTAAACATCAGCTCTATAGAGACAAAATCATACCTATAGCTATCATGATTACCTTACAAACTACTAAACATCAGCTCTATAGAGACAAAAATCATACCTATAGCTATCATGATTACCTTACAAACTACTAAACATCAGCTCTATAGAGACAAAATCATACCTATAGCTATCATGATTACCTTACAAACTACTAAACATAAGCTCTATAGAGACAAAAATCATACCTATAGCTATCATGATTACTCTTTTTCATGGAGAGATAATTAGATTTGGCAAATATCTGATGCAGTTAGGACTCAGGTTTTAATCTGGTCAGTGAAAAACAAATTGACATCTGATTAGTTTCTTGGAAATAGCCTTTCTAAAGATTAACAAATAGCATGTGTAGAAAAAAGTTCCAAAGTTTTTTAATTTTTTTCTGTATTTTACTGATAAGTGGACTATTTCACAAGTATAACTTAAGTAACCAACAAATCTATGGTTCCGATAGATTAAATTCATTCATCCTTAAACATGACATTGAAATTATGCCAAACTGTAAAATTGTATATTTCTACTGCTTTATATTATTGAGAGCCCTTGTTGTAATGGAACTCTTGATTTTATATTAAAAGACAAAAATCTATTCAATTTCAAGACTTTATTCCTTCCTTAATCATCCTTAAAATACCTGAAATAGTTGCCACCAGTTATTGAACAAGCGGCAATCTATCAATCACTTCATCATTACAATTGTAGTTAATAAAGAAATAAGCAACAAAAGGGCAACTAGAGATTATATTAAAAGGGAGATAACTCCTGTTATATTTTGTACATTTCTGTGATTTCTGATGTGACATGCCCACAAGAGGGAGCAAATAGGTTCACTAAACCACATCAATGATCAAATAGAAATCTTAACAAAACTTTAGGTTGGTCTTTTATGTTGTGTATTTTAAACAACTTGGTTTACACAGGAAACTTTTTTTATGCAAAATCATTGTTCTATTTGTGTTATTAAAAAAACATTTTGAGTCTTTTTTCATGCAGTATTGTATCCTATATACCATCTAGAATTTTCAAATCTAGTGATTTAATTTTTGTCTCACAATTGATTTTTTGTTTTCCATTGGTGCAATTCAGGCGTGTTGTCCACATCGGCAAGGTTATTGTATTTTGTGATTGGTAAGTTTAAGAGGTAGTAATTAGTGGCAAGTTAGTGTTATTTTATTTGGTGTGTTGTTGTATCAGTATTTGCACATCTTATTTCTATGGAAATTGTTTGGCTCTTTCCCCTTAGTCATGGTATATTGACTTTGAAGTTTTTTGCAGTGTAACAAATTATTAGTTTGTGATTAACTTAACTGGTTAAGAAAAACTGCTAATGGTAAGTCAAGAATATTTGATATGCAGTTGTATTAGCATTGCCATATTTCATTTCTGGCTATGTTGATATTAAATGAAATGCTAACAACTCAAATGTTATTTACTTTATATTCAGTGTTGAGGAAGTCAAACACATTTTATTTATTTTAAAGCTAATGTTGAGATGGCTGATGCTTATGTTACAAAGACCCAGGAAGATATGGATAACTGGCAGCAGGAGGTATTAAAACGTCTCGACCAGGAACAAGATTTTATAGCACAGCTCCGAAAACGACGTCAACATAGTAATAGTAGCAGTATTATACAAAGTGATAATGAAAATGACAGGTAAGAACCTACTGAACTATTTAATATATATTGATGGCGAAAGTGTCAAAATTTCAAATCTCAGAAATGGGAAAATTTCTAGAGGGAGTTTTGTTGTAGAACTTACCTCACATTTCATAGTAACATTTCTGCCTTCTATGGGAATAAGCTTTGACTATTAATTTGCCTCACAATTTACTTGTTTATTTGAGCAGGACCCTCTTTGAAGATTTCCATCACTATCCTCTAGATATATATTATTATATCTTACTTCTTCCAGTCAAATGTTAATATTTGAAATTTTTTATTAGCATTCAGTTGAGCAAAGTCATCGTGTGGCCTGACCCTGAAGCTGTAGCAACACATAAGGATCAGGGTCATCTTGCTGCCCATTTCACATTTAATAACTTCTTTATTTAATTCAACCAAACTTACTGTAAATACAGAAATTATTGCGTGCACTTATTATTGCGATTCCCCATCCTCCAGCAAAAATATGAGGGTTTTTTTTTGCAATCCGCCGACCTCCCCCAAAATATTTTTTAAAAGTTATTAGTCCCCTACAGACAAAGTCGAAGGGGGCTTTAGGTTTGCACTCCGTCCGTCTGTCTGTCTGTCTGTCTGTCCATCCTTCAGTCCGGCAAATCAGTTTTCCTCACTTTTTTTCGTCATGCTTGAAGATATTTATTTGATAATTGGTATATAGTTTTATCATGACAATTTACAGATCAAGTTTGAACTGATGATTTTGTGCAGAGTTATGGTGTTTGGACTTAGAAAATTCACTCAAATAATCAGTTTTCCTCACCTTTTTTTCGTCACTTGAAGATATGGATTTGATAATTGGTATGTAGTTTTATCATGAAAAGTTTCAGATCAAGTTTGAATTTCCGTTCTGATGATTTTGTGCAGAGCTATGGTCCTTGGACTTAAAACATTCACTTAAATAATAAAGTTTTCCACACTTTTTTTCGTCATTCTTGAAGATATTGACTTGATATTTGTTATATAGTTTACACCATGACAAGTTATAGATCAAGCTAGCATGTTGTTCTAGTACAATGAATTTTACCTGGTAGGGGACTATGTATTGCAATGCAATATTCTCAGAATGCTTGTTTATGGTTTAAATTAAGTGTTTCATGTATTCCCGGCATCTTTTGATCAAACACAAACCTATTAGACAGATTTCAAATTCAAAGTATTATAAAAATGTCACCTGGCTTCACCGATTACAGGTTGCCAGATATCAGTTGTAAAAACAACAACACCTTAAAATGCCCAAGGTGAAAGGTTACTTACATTACGCCAGTAGCAAAGGGAGATAAATCAATCACACACTGACCAGGGGAAAATCAAATAAGAATGCGAGGTTTAATTATTGGGCGGGTCGCATTATTCGCAATAATAAAAACCTGGTAATAATTTCTGAATTTACAGTAATTGTTTTTATATAAACAACCAAAGGGGTGATCAACATTCTGAATGTTTCTATTGCAGCTCTTTACCCATGGACATGACCTCTTCTTATGTTAAAACAGATGACAGTAGTGTAGTTACAGACAATGATAGTTGTACTAAAAGTGACGGGGATGATGAAGATGATTCAGAGCTCTATGATAATCACCCAAAAGTAAGATTTCAAATCCAAATATACTGATTTTCTCTGAAGTACACTTGTAATTATTATATATTCAAAGAGATGGATGGGAACAGTAATAAACATTAGTAACATAATAAATAGCTTTATAAGTTGTTGATAACAATGTACCGGTAGCAACTATATAGGGATATTATAAGTAGTTAGCTCATTTAACATAATACCTAATCTCTTTTACTGTGGATGAGGGTAAACAATGAATAGTATCCTTCTACATTTACATGTTAAATAATGAGATGTGATATGATTGCCAATGAGATAATTATCAACCAGAGTCCATATGAGGTGTATGTAAGCAGTATTGGTCACTGAACAGCCTTCAACAATGATCAAAACTTTCTAGAGTATATGGATTTTAATAAATACTTTTGTTTTTTTGTAAAACAGGAGCTACCAAACAGAATGAATTCAAGTACATTTTCTACTGATGAAGAAAGTTTTCTACAATCTGATGCTGAATCCTATATACGTACAGATGAAGAGGACAATGACAATGACTGGGAAGAGTCGATGAAAAGATGGGCAAACAGATGAAACAATTCATTGCTTATTGTCAAAATCTAAAAAGTGTGCTTGCACCAACCCAATATGCTGTAAGAAATGGTGTTTAAGTACCCCGGTAGTTCTGTACAAGGATTGAATAAGAACTTCCCACAGAGTATTATCATTATATGACCCCAATCAATCAATCAGTCATTGAATAGGTTCCCCATTCAGAATAGATCACCGATTATTCTAGATCTATGAGTATGTTGGACAACCTGCTGTGACGCTATTCTAAAGTACCAATACCTCGATATCTGTGTCAAATTATCATAGCTATGCTCATATAGAATTCTGGTAGGGGCAATTTAAAACTTGTCTGTTAAGAATGCAATGCAGTCATGTGATTACTCTATAAATGTTTTATAGAGTCATGTGATTAACACAAAACTCCCATTATGTCATGTGATAATTTAACTGCTAAATTGTATTTATATTGTGATAAACATCAAACTAGAGTCAGTTAAAATATAGGTATCAATATTGGAAGTCATGTGATCAATGTTATTACAATAATGAATTCATGTTAATTTTTCAGCAACTTCTTAAGTTTTTAATTTTGTTAGTCGTTTAAGGATGTTTGCTACTCTTGTTTTTAACTTTTGCCAAACATTTGAATCCTCTAGTTTTATTCATTGTAGTGTCACTACAAATTTCGCCTGCTAACCCCTACTTTTCTTTTTATAATTTTATTACATATAGTTAAAAAGGTCATTTTTATGCCCCACCAAGGGGCATTAAGTATTTTGGTCTGTGTGTCCCTTCGTTCGTTCGTCCATTCGGCCATCCATCCGTCCGTCGTCTGTCCGTTAGTCCTTCTGTCCTGCTTCAGGTTAAAGTTTTTGGTCAAGGTAGTTTTTGATGAAATTGAAGTCCAATCAACTTGAAACTTAGTACACTTGTTCCCTATGATATGATCTTTCTAATTTTAATGCCAAATTAGAGTTTTGACCCCAATTTCACTGTCCACTGAACATAGAAAATGATAGTGTGAGTGGGGCATCCGTGTACTATGGACACATTCTTGTTGAACAATCTTATAAAATTCTTCTTTTTTCTCATAGTTTTTGAGAGATTAAAGGAGCCAATGTTAAATGTATGAAAAGTCTAGAGAGAATCATTTCCCGCCAAATTTTCAAATGATTATATCCCAAAAATAAGGTCACGAACCTATCATTTTTTTTCTGCTTTTGAAGTACAATTGTTTATAAACTATCAATTTATAATAGTCTTTTAAAAAGCTTGTTATTTTGAAACAGAGGATCAAACATCCTTAATACTAAATCCTGTTTAATATTATCCTCACTTGGTTACAGATATTTCCTCTATTATCCTCACTTGGTTACAGATATTCCCTCTATTATCCTCACTTGGTTACAGATATTCCCTCTATTATCCTCACTTGGTTACAGATATTCCCTCTATTATCCTCACTTGGTTACAGATATTCCCTCTAAATCCTGTTTAATATTTATATCCTCATTTGAATACAGATATTCCCTCTATTATCCTCACTTGGTTACAGATATTCCCTCTAATCCTGTTTAATATTATCCTCACTTGGTTACAGATATTCCCTCTATTATCCTCACTTGGTTACAGATATTCCCTCTAAATCCTGTTTAATATTTATATCCTCATTTGAATACAGATATTCCCTGTGATTTCAATGCGTTCATACAATATTACAAATTTATCCTGATCAATGTAAATTTAGTTTTAGAATGCTATTATATTATTTGAAAAGAACAAATAATAGTTAAAAATTATTAGTTAAGATGTTGTGGCTGAAATGTAAGATTGTTTTATCATTACATGTTTTGCAGTTCTCTTTGATATTAATATCATAAATCCTTATTCTAGAATTATAATTTACAAGTAAAATATTTAAATCAACTAAAGTGTTAAGAAATAATTATTCTTCTGTCATCTGAAAATGTACAACAGTGACAATGTTGTATAATACTTTTATTTTCCCTGTTTAAAGTTAATTCAACAAGGAGAAAAAAATGTAAACAATCTATAGCTTTTGGTCTAAATAAATATATATTCAATACTTGTAGGCCCCCTCATTTTGTCATATATGGAAAAGCAATTTATAGAACTTTGCAACGCACAATTTCATTAAATATGTCATTACAACTCTATATTTGACAACATTTGAAGTGGGTTTGTATATTATATTGTTATTCTTGGTTGTGATTCTACCAAGTCTGCCTTTCATTTTGTGTAAGTCATATTTATTCTGTGAGCAGAAAAAAACATTGAAATGTTTGGTATGTATCCAATCTTTACCAATTTTGGTAAATATTTCTTCCTCCCAATTGACAATGTGAAATTGTAATTATTTAAAACCAGTCGATTTTTTTTTCATCTCTTCTATCATTAACCTGTTTATTGTTTTATGTCAATATCTCTTCAAAGTGAGGCTTTTTAATATATATGTACAAGAATGTACCAAACACAATGTCATTCAACTGTATTTCTGATTTCTTTATTACCTTCAGTGACAGATTCACATATTACCGTATACGATTGTCTGTTTTTTTGTTCCTCCACACTTTGAGCACTTCTTGCAATATCTTTTAAGTGCTTTAGCAAATCTTATTGGATGTTTTTTTTTTAATTTAATGTTTGATTTCATGAGGTCAGTTCACGTTTCTGATTTTCATGATTTCCAGGTTTGTTGTGCAATAGTCATGGAAATGTTTTGGTTAAAAATTAAAAAGCTGTGACAAGTCCCTTGATAATCCAAGATTGCTCAAGTAGATATATTCTTAGAAAATGTTTAGTTCCATAAATACAAATCCCTTTGGATTTCAACTTCTTTCAGAGCCGTTGAACTAGAGTTAATATGGGTCTTATTTGTGTCGTGATGGTTAGTTTACTGTACTTTACAAAATTCTTATACAAATTTTTATTACATATAATCTCACTTTTAGTTTTGAAGGTTTTGTTAATTTTATGTTATGAGTCTGTCATTATTAGATAATTGGCATTGTTGAGCATATTTCAGATATCTCAGTTTTGTTTTCGAGGAAAGCTGTAACATGATTTTTTATGCTCCCATCGTAGGCAACGAGGACGTTAAGTGTTATCTTGGCTGTCTTTTTGTCAGTCCTTCCCATTTTAATTTCTGCACTCTAACTTAAGTTTGCCTCATGCAAATTTTTTAAGAAACTAATACACAATGCTAAGAATCAAAACTCACAGACAGAGTTCGAATTTGGGCAGTGAGTCACTTACCGTTCTAGTATTATGCCCCTTTATAACTTGGAAAATTGAAAATTTTTCTGTTTCCGCACTCTGAATTAAGTTTTTCTCATTCAAATTTTCTGAAACTCATACACAAAGCTAAGAAACAAAACTCGCAGACAGAGTTCAAATTTGGGTATAATTGAGTCAATTATGATTTTAAAGTGATTCCCCTTTATAACTTGGAAAATTGCAAATTTTTTCGTTTCTGCACTCTTAACTTAAGTTTGTCTCATCCAAATTTTATGAAACTCATACATAAGGCTAAGAACTACAACTCGCAGACAGAGTTCAAATTGGAATGTGAGTCATTTATCGTTCTAGAGTTATGCCCTATTTAACATGGAAAATGGCAAAGCTTGAGCGGGGGCATTCATATCCTCAGACACATTCTTCTTTTATTTTAAGTATTTGGTAATATAAGGATACACTCCTTTTCAGTGTGGAAGAGTTTTACATTTCTATTAAGAAGAAGGGGCTTTATATGCAAAAATTAAACAATTTAGCAACGAATAAAGACATATGTATGATGTGTTCCGTTATTACCAGTTAATATTAAATTGGAAAATGGTGAAAAAAAGGTTTACCCAGGAAAATTGATTGAATCCTTTTAAACCTCATTAGTATGGCCTACATTATCCTATTAAAGACAGTTTGTCAGTATTTGAGTATGGAAAGTAAGGATTTTAAGAGGGTGACAGGTTTTATATACAATTTAGTTTCATTTTTTTTTATACAAGTTTTTATTTGGAAGTAAAATCAGTAATAAGAATCAACAAATTGTACAATAGACATCACAAATATATATATATAAATACATGCTATACTCATATATCCCTCATCAATTCAATATATTGCCATTTCTCTATTTTTGTTTTATGAAGATGTTTAATATTTTTACATATGATTTTTGTACTTATTTAGATCTAGTCGGCTTAGACTTCACCAATGGCATTTTTGGTGATATATATTTTGAATTTTACACAATGATGCTATAATTATTTATATTTTGTAATGCAGTATGTTTTTGCTTGAATATCTTTTTGGGAAATTAATCATTTTCTTTTCAAATCAGTATTCACGTGAACGGGTTGCTGCCTTTTTATCTTTCTGATTATAGCAGTCTTTTGTCATGATTTTTTTTATATATAAACTCCAAACATTGGTAATTAGTTTCTGTACAGTTTTGTTGTTAGATCTTTCACTGTATTATATTTTTGTTATGCTTTTATATCTATTTTACAAATATCCAAAAATCAAAAACAATTTTCTGGTCATTAAATCAATAAATGCTCATCAATAATTATATTTAGCTCTAGTAATGTTACAACTGTCAATTTACATTGATTGAAACTTTTACACAGGGTTTAATCCAGTAAGTTACACAGGGTTTAATCCAGTAAATTACACAGGGTTTAATCCAGTAAACTTCTCTATTAAAGTAAACAAATGATTCCTTTGTATTATAAGTTTTTATCTAGTATATTGCTACTTGAACTGTATTACCTCATATATATCCTGGATATTTAAAACAATGTAAAGCTTTTTTTGATCAAATGACCAGTGGGAGCTTTTCTCTCTTTAGGAATCTCCCATCTTTGTTTCTGGTCAATAACCACAATAAAAATTTTCATTTTAACTGCTTTTGTTAATTGAAACCAAACTTCCATACAATAGAATAGTTACTTTAAGAACTATATATATATAAGATCTGAGATTGCTACATGAGATTGTATTGGATGTAGATTATTTGACTTCATCTTATGGATGAATGGTCATTTGTTGGTCTTCTTGATTGATATTAAATACCAGTCCCATCTACCATCCAAAGTGGCAGCCTGATAATTTAGTAATATGTTTCTTCAGAACTATTCTAATTCACAGTATCAATACAACCATGAGACAACCCATATATGATCTGACCCCCCCCCCCCCCCCCCCCCCCCCCCCCCCCCCTGTAAAAAGAGAAATACCTGATATGAGATGTAGACTTGGAATGTTGTATGTAGATTTTTTGGTTAAGATAACCCACCAATACAATATAGATTCCCCCACCAATACAATATAGATTCCCACACCTATACAATATAGATTCCCCCACCAATACAATATAGATTCCCCCACCTATACAATATAGATTCCCCCACCAATACAATATAGATTTCCCCACCAATACAATATAGATTCCCCCACCTATACAATATAGATTCCCCCACCAATACAATATAGATTTCCCCACCAATACAATATAGATTTCCCCACCAATACAATATAGATTCCCCCACCTATACAATAAAGATTCCCCCACCTATACAATATAGATTCCCCCACCTATACAATAAAGATTCCCCCACCTATACAATATAGATTCCCCCACCTATACAATATAGATTCCCCCACCTATACAATAAAGATTCCCCCACCTATACAATATAGATTCCCCCACCTATACAATATAGATTCCCCCACCTATACAATAAAGATTCCCCCACCTATACAATATAGATTCCCCCACCTATACAATAAAGATTCCCCCACCTATACAATATAGATTCCCCCACCTATACAATATAGATTCCCCCACCTATACAATAAAGATTCCCCCACCTATACAATATAGATTCCCCCACCAATACAATATAGATTCCCACTGTTGACATTAGGATGTAATGTTTTCCTTTGCCTAAGATGTAATGTTTTGTATATCTATATTGCTAAGATCAAACTATTATATTTTTGTTTTGTTTTGTAACATTTTACTCAGATTTTAATACTTTGTTTGGTATGAGATTTGTTGACCTTTGCTACATTTTCAAGGACTTATTTTCTACAAGTTTGTATAAACAATAACTTTCAAAGACTTGTCTACTACAAATTTGTGAACAATAATTTATAGAACATTATAAACATGATAATAGGTTGTATTTATGAAAGTTGTGATATTCTTAAGAAATACAGATTTTAAACAGAATGTTTGTTGTTTATTATTTAAAGTAACAGTAGTTAGCAGAATATTGCTTCTTACAGTAATTATAGCATCAATCTAGGAGTCCAGGTTATATAGAAAATACCTTGTCCATTCATTCGTCCATCCCTCTGCTCGTCCAACAAATTTTTTCCATCACAATTTTCTAATAAACTACCAAACAGAATGACTTCTTGTGTAGTCAATAGCTTGACATCGATAAATTATAAGTTTTGAGCATTTTTCAGATCTGTTATTATGATAGATGCCATTAATGCAATAGGAATTGAAAACACAGTTGTATAACTTAAACTTATATTATATGGAAGGGGGTACAGCAGTTATATCCCAATTGATGGTCACTTTGATCTATACTTCACAACCGTAGCCATCTTTGAAATATCAGACACCGATTGCAAATCTGCACATTCTGATAAACCCTAATATATCGTTTGCTGGTACTAATGAAACAGGGACCTTCACTGAGATAGCTGTGTCAGTGGAGTAATTGTTAACAGCGTGTGCAATACTGTTGTTGAATAAAAAAAAAAATATATCGTTTGCTGCGGGTTTAGAAAGCAATTGTAGTCTTTTTTTCAATTCTAGTTTTGAATCAAAAATTTTATCAAACCTTTTCCGATACACGAGTCTAAACTTTTTCCTAGATATGAGTTTGGATCTCCTTTGCATTTATTTCCTCCTTTCGGAACGTTTATCTCTAACGAAACTAAAAGATCTTTGACCATTTACTTTGGCGTTTATATCTCCAAGAATGATGATCGTTCCTAGCTGAGAGTATATCATGTATATTTCATACAGCCACTCAACGTAAATTCTAAAACATTCGAATGGTTTAGACAATGCAGGTAAGTAAATACAGAAACAATCTATACTCTCAGAGTGAAAAGTCAAACAACAAAAATACCGAACTTCGAGGAAAATTCAAATCGGAAAGTCCCTTCTCAAATGGCAAAATCAAAAGCTCAAACACACCAAACGAATGGAAAACAACTGTCATATTCCTGACTTGGTACTGGCATTTCCATATGTAGAAAATGGTGGATTAAACCTGGTTTTATGGCTAGCTTAACCTTTCACTTGTAAGACAAACCCCTCAATTGTATGAATAGTGTGAATTTCTATTCATGTTATATGCGTGTCGTCTATATCAATACAGTATACATATTTGACGATTGAAGATTTAACAATAAAAGTCACACCCCTTCAATTCGAATTTTGAATGCTTCAGGGTAGCTATCATCAACACATTTTGAATTTACAGATGACTAAGTCGAATCAATACTGTCTAGTACATTACCACAGTGTCTTCGCGACCAATGTTCCTTTGAAGCACACATATCAACATGGTGGACTTTCAAATTAATCTTTTATTACTCCAGATAAGCTAGATATCAAACAACCTCATTAAAATCAGATCTTTTTCTTTGCTCCAGTAGACATTTTGTTTTGTCGCAGGAATGATAGAAAATGCTAATGAAGTTAAGCGAAAATTCTGATTTTATTGAGATTGGATTTTAAATTATATATCTGTTATATGTAACAAAATTTGAGTTTTTTTTAACTTCAATTTAACAATATTTTACAGGGTTCACTGTTTCATTTTATTCCTATAATCCTTATGAAATTCTTTGATATTTTTTTCAATAATGAAGTTCTCACCTAGCTATTATCTCTTAGATATAAGGGGCTGTTCCCAATTTATTGTTTTCAACACATTGCTGTCTCAAGTAAATTATTTTATTTATAATTGCTGGTTATTTGCATTATTCTCACTTTTTCACAGAATAAATATTTTTTAATTATAAGGGCACATCATGATGTATGATACCAGGCAGGGAAGTATGTTTAACAGTAGGAAAATTACTACGGGTTGACTGTTAAACAATGTACTATGTCAGTCGATGAATTTACCGAAAAAGAGTATGTGTTATAGCACACAAAAAGGAAACAAGAATAAATATGTTGTCGTTGGTTCATGTCTGTCATAATTGTTTTTTCGTCAATTAATTGGTTGCAAACCAGGCCGTAAGTTTTCTTGTTTGAATTATTTCAGATTTTGTCATGTCGAGGGCTTTTATAACCGATATGGGTGCACAATAATTGCTTACATGCACTTATTCGAACTCTGGTGGATAGTTGTCACATTTGCAATACTACCATATATCCTTATTTTTATATATGTTCAAAACCATGTAAAACTTAAATGCAAATATACAGTTTAAATTCCATTTAACTGTAGCAAAATTGTAATAACTGAAGATATATGGTCATACATATATTACAAATATTGCAGTTTTAATAATTTTGTCTTTTATTTGAGTAAGCCTGTCTTTATGCAGAACAATGCACGTCTAAATCTTACGTGTTTCTTTCTTTGTAACATTGATAACTGGAATGAATATATAATCTTTCTAAATCCATTTAAATCAAGGACAACATATCACGTTCACTGATGATGTAAATGTGAATTTGTTTTGAGATCCAATTAAAAGTACTTAAGGCAATTCACATGAACCTGTCTTGTTTTTCTTGACAAAGCAGAGATAAATTTGTATATCCTAAGTTCCGGTAAAAATAATAGATTTCATTGAAGTACATTAATATCGTGTCTGAAATGCAAAACACAAAATACCAATCGACCTCTTTTATTTCTGCTTTTGGCCACTACAGGTCCTTAAACATAAATGAGCAGAGTGGGCTCGGTTATCACTATTTGTATTACTTTGACTTTTGTGTTAGTACTACACAACTGCAATTGTTCTCCTTCTACACTGAGGACTATTAGTCATCTAAATGTTTCTCCAAGAAAAAAAAGTAAAATAACAAAAATACCGAACTCCGAGGAAAATTCAAAACGGAAAGTCCCTAATCAAAGGCAATATCAAAAGATCAAATACATCTAACGAATGGATAACAACTGTCATATTCCTGACTTGGTACAGGCATTTTCTTATGTTGAAAATGGTAAATTAAACCTGGTTTTATAGCTAGCTAAACCTCTCACTAGTATGACAGTTACATAAAATTTCATTATATTGACAACAATGTGTGAACAAAACAAACAGACATAATAGTTAAAAATGTCAAAAACAGGGGTACAGCAGTCAATATTGTGGTATAATCTTAATCACAATAAACACAAACAAATGTGTCAAAAAAAAAGCATATAGACAAAGCACATTAGATAAAACGAAAGACAAGAATGCAAAACTTTTTACCATAGCACAATAACATAATGACGGGATGTTTTAAGTACCGAGCTACGTCCAATAGACAAAACAGTAGGAGTAATACTTTTTTTAAAAAGACAACAACACACCGACTCCTGGTAGGTTCTTGGTGTCTGTTAAACAAAAACAGATGGATTAAATATTTCACCTAGAAGACAAAACAGGTTTTAGTTGACTCTGCAGAATGAAAGAAGTAACATAGAATGATTGACATCTGCAATCTCCTCTCGCATCCATCGACGAATGTCTGCCTATTAAATATAAGAAGTCTCGCATACGTTTATAATTCTGTGCGACTGATAGGTATTTTTTATTTGGTCCATTGATTGATAGCATTTTGTTTTGTCAGTTTGATGGACTTCCCTTTTTTGAATTTACCTTTTGCTCATTGTTGAATGCCGCACAGTGACCTATAGTTGTTAATTCTGTGTCATTTGGTTTCTTGTGAGTTATCTCATTGGCAATCATACCACATCTTCTTATTTTTATATCTCCATGACCAAAGTAGAAATCCAATGACCTTCCAATTGGGACAATAAAAGGAAAAATCTAAATTAAAGAAGAACAACAATAGACAAAAACATGGTTAAAGTAAAAACAAAAATAAAATCCCAGAGCATATCAAGGGAGACATAAAGGGTTAACATTTAAACTAATAAGCCTAATATTACATAAAAAAACCCGATTATGGTAATAACACAAAACAGATATCCAAGTGGCAATCAAAATTCATAATCGAACAACTGCATTCATCAAGGTAAAAAAAAATATTATAAAAACTACTCAATCCTCCTAAATATGTAATAACCATCCCTTCAAATGCTGGTAAAAGTGTGTTTTGTACTTATTACCCACCTTCTTAGTTTGATACCCATATGACTTTAATTATTAGATGGTGGTGACCTGTACTGTGAAATATTAGCGAATACTGTGTTTAAAATATGTAGTTACAAAGGATTTTAATATAAAAGTTCATCACATATCAAAACAAAATGTCTATCATTTGTTCTTACATATCTGTTATTTTGAACACAATCAAATTAATAACATTGAACATGTATGCTATGCTTTATCACTTTTAAAGGCATGTATATTAAAGAATGATCAATCATAACATAATCTTTGCCATTGTATGTTTTTTCCTTTTTAACTGTTGGGTAGAAGTGTTATTTTCCATTTAGGTTAAATCATACAGCTTTGAGACATACCTTAAAAAAGTATTGCGTAGAGCAGGAAAATGCAATTATATTTACTAGTAATTTTTAGTTCTGTGTTTGTTATAGGCAATGCTGTATTTACATGCAGCAACGGACAAAAACAGTGCTATTTGAGCCAGTGGTTACAATGGTCAAACTGTACCTCATATTGTGGTGGTGGTACTTCTAGGAGATTTAAAACACTGTGCTGTCCTAAAACGTATACAACAATTGAAAAATGTGCGACAGACTGTAATATAACAACAAAAGATTACATTGAAAAGAAAGTATGTGGACACACGTGTGTGAATGGTGTGTTTAGACAGAACAAGTGCCAGTGTCCACAAAGATTTACTGGGAAATGTTGTGAATTTGGTAAGAAAAGTCATTGACTGTGAATTAACAGATAAGATTATTTCAAATGACAAAAAATCTACATAAAATTACCAGGATGCATGAAAGCAGTTTTGGTTTTCATAGAAAATTACTGTTGCACCCCTATTTTTGACATGTTTACCTATTATGTCTGTTTGTTTTGTTCACACATTGTTTT